GGGCGCATCGATGTGATGGAGCTGCTGGCCCGAGTCCGAGAGGAAGGCAGAGGCGGTGGAAATCACACTTGGCCCAGGCTTGACAACCCATTCGACATGGAAGTCAGTTGAAAAGTGGCGAGCCGCTGCCAGCTTCGAGATCTGAGAGGGCCTGGGTGGAGGGGTTGGAAGTAGGTGGTTTGGTGCTCTTGTGCTGCAAGACCCAGAAGGCCACACAGGACGCCTTGGCAGATGCCCGCCGCGAGGGCGCCACGGAGCAAATGCGGATGCAGGTGGGGGATGGTAGGCTACACTGAACTTCCACTAGCCACACAAGCCCGCAGCCTTTGAGCGAGCAGACATGTGCAAAACGTGTGTGGCCCCGCAGATCCCATCCGCGTTCACGGCCCGGGAGTCCGAATTTGACATGGCCAGGTCGCTTGTGACCGTTTGTCGGCCGCAAATGCCGACCTCGAGGCAGAGATCCGCAGGCACGGCTTGGCTCAGCTTGCCGGCAAGCTCAAGCCCCTGCCAAGAGCACGCTCGCTTGGGTATTAATTACTGTCTAGGTTCTTTCATACTTTTGATTCAGTCACAGCTGTGTATGCATGACGATTCACACGCACAAACACACAGACACACAGACACACAAATGCACAGACACACAGACACAAACCCACAAACACGCGCACGCGCAGGCACACACACACACATGCGCATGCAACGCACATGCGCATGCGATGCACATGCACGCCGGCACGCACGCCTGCCCGCCTGAACTTACGAGCGCACACGCGTGAACGCGCATGCGCATACCTGTACACCCAAACCCGCATACTATGTGATAATTTCATGGATACATAGTGTATTTATGTTTGCGCCTGTGTGAGTCCGCGTGCGTGTTTGTGTGTGTGTGTGTGTCATGTTTTGCTGTGATTTGCTTGCAGGCTTGAGGAGGACCTTGTGGCACGACGTCGCGCCTCCACAGACTTGGAGGCTCCAGCCTAATCCGAATGCTGCCAAGCACTCGCAAGACACTCACATGCTAATGACCTCCCGTTCCCCCAAGAAAATGACCGATGTTCGAAAAGAGGAACCTCCCCAATACCAACCGATTTTTTCCACATGGGTCATTGGCGTCAGTTTGGTGGGACATCCCTGGGATCACTTCCGGAACCATTGGGAACCTGTTTGGAGCCGATCCACGCAGGTGCGGGCTGCAGCTCGTCTGAGCTCCGCGGAGAACGAGTTGCAAGCAGCCAGGGAGGAGCTCGCAAATTTGCAGCGGAGGTGGCAGCAGGCCGCGAAGGAATCCCAGGACGCCAAAATAGACCAGCGAACCCTCGCAGAGGCGCTTTTACATGCAAATCAAGCTAAGTGGTTCTTCTTTTGACCTTTCGTTGGACGGATGCCGCCCTTTGACTAGCGTTGGTCCTTGCCTGCACCTGAAGTGAGCAATGATGAAAGACTGTATATTCGAGGTGTTCATCGTTTTAGAAGCCGTAGGAATGCTGGCAGTTGCTGGCAGGTCAGCGGCGCGCAGAGCCGGGCGAAGCTGGAGGCGTTGAGGGGATGTATTGAAGCTAGATTGTCAGCCGTCGATGTTTTTTGTGTAGCTTACTGTGACTCATTCTGGTTGGTGGAGAGACTCTTTCGTGGAAGTGAAAACTGGCCGTCTTCAGCGTCGAATTGCAACTCTCTTGACTCTTAGCGTCCACGCCCTCTGCTGTGGCAGCTTCAACAGTCCCTTGTGCTTGTGGGCTATTTGCCATGGAAGCGGGATGTCCACAGACCTTTTCTTGGGAGGGAACTGGACTGCTTGCGTCTGAGGTGGCCTCGGACAAGAAGATGTCGGCTGACTTGGAGGCGGGCGACAGGTCGCGAACAAACAGGCGTCCATTGACGCTGGCTGGGCTCAGGCGTCGCGTCTTTGCGAGGGCAAGGCGGCACTTTTTTCGCTCTCTTTTTTCATTTTCTTGCGCAGAGAAAGGTTTTGTTTTTTTCTCTTTCGCACCTATCCCAAGCCACTGCGCCGCTTGTTGTGGGCAACTGTCCAGATTTCTATGCCTAGAATTGGCTCAATCTATGCACTAGCCTGCGGTTCTCTAGGTGGGTCGAGGGCTCCTTTCTGTTTGTTTCGAGTTTTGCTGCCAGAAGTTTGAAGACCATTTGGTCGCGAACTGCACCAGCAGCTGCCATCGTGCAAACACACTCTGCAGGTGTTTACTTTAGTTGTCCAGCTGGTTGCAGCTACAAGCAAAAAGCACTCTCACGCGAAGTTCATGGTTGACCTTTGGGCCAGCTGAAACCTGACCCACTCAAGACTTGAGGCTGCCCATATTTCTCCATGAACATTTGGGGCTTGCGCTGGGTGTGGGCCTTGCAGCGGGGTTCCCAAAGCGTTCGCCCCACGCCAGCGCGCCTTGCGCCGGCCAGGGCAGCCTCTCGGAGCAGCTGGAGCGGCGCAGGGCAGAGCAGCGCGCCAAGGAGTCGGCGCCCGGAGCCTCGAAATTGAGCCGAAATGTGGGCTCTTCGGGTTGCGCCCAGGGGGTGAGTTTATTTTTGTAGCCAAAGGCGCGTTTTACCCGTTGAGAGTTTAAGACACTAAGGATACTTCGAGGGCAACATGGAGTGAGTAGACTGTTGGCAAGGCCTGCTGCATGCTGGCCACTTTTTTTTGTCCTTCTTCTTGTTTCCTCCATTTTTTTTTTTTTTTTTTGGGGGGGGGGTAGCTGGATCGCAAATTGCGTAGTGAGCTAGTGAGCTGAATTTTCCAGCTGCCCATTCACTGATTCATAGAAGGCATGTGGGAGAAACTGTGGCATGTATTGAGCAAAGGGCCAAGGCTAGACAATTTGCGTAATTCTCGCAGTCGGCAGACTGACGGATGGGCCTCTGATTTCAACTGCAGAGGCTGAGCCAGCAGCTGGTGCGTGAGGAGCAGGCAGCCGAAAAGGCATCGGCCCCCGGTTCGGGGACGTGTGTTGTGTTTCTCAGGTTTGTTTCCCATAGGAGACGTGGATGCTTTTTGGTCTGGGGCTGGTTTCCTCTTTGGGCCGGCAGCTGGCTGACTGGTTGGTTGACTGGTTGCCAAATTCCACTTCAGTGTCGTAATTGCTGTGACAGGTCAGGCCGCTTCTTTGCTGGGGGTCCGACGCCCTTCGCCCCAACCAACAAACCAACCAGCCTGCCAGCCAGGCTTGCGTCAGCCAGTTTTACTTTGTGGGGCCCTGCCCGGGTGGAGTGTTTCAAGGGCAGCTTAGGGAGCCCTGCTGTTGGAGTTGGTAACGACTGTTGTGGTGTACCCCTGCATCAGCCTTGGGAGCCTTCAGTCGGTGAGCCGGTGGATGGCACAGGCTCTTTGCCCTCGAGTGTTTTTTCCCGAGGCCCGACAAGAGATGCAGAAGGTGAAGGATGCCGGGGCCGAACAGCGGCATCCTTACTGTCCATGTGCTCGGCTGCCCTCCCTTTTCCCATGTGCCATGCCCTGCTGAGGGTGATTCGAACCCAGGAGCCTGCAATGTGAAGACTTGGAAGCCCATTTTAGTGCCACGTTTGAGGGACAAATTTGGTTCGCTTTCAGGAGGAGCAGCGGCGAAAGCTTCAGGGCGTCCAGAAATTCAAGGTGCAGGCTGAGGACGCCGAGTTTTGGGCTTCGGTCAGCGGCGCCTTTTTCCCTTAGGCAAAATTGCAAGCCGGTGCTATTTTCTTCTTCAGGAAAGCGGGCCGCAGCATTTGTAATGTTTTGCTTTGAGCGGCACAGGGGTTTGAATCCAGGCTTTGGGTTCTGCCGGGGTTGAATTTGTGCAGGCGCCAAGCCTCGACCCGTTGCGGCGGGAGAATTGTGGGCCAGCCACGGATGTAACACGCACGGGCGGCCCCTTCTCGGCGCTTTCCCGCAAATCCCTTTCAGTTCCCTCCCTGCAACCTCCGCTCAAAGCGAGGAGACGAGGCGTGCTGACCTGAAATCGACCAGCGACGCCGCTTGGTTGCACTCGATGTGCAATGGTCCTTTCGCTTAAAAGGGACTTAGCAAGCTTTGGTACTTTCATGAGTCCAAGCATTTCCCGCTACTGTCCAGCACTCACTGGGTGAACCGCAGAAGGAGTTGGCAGTAGTCGAAAGGTTCGGCATGTTTGAGTAGGCAATCGTGGGATTTTGGGGCAGCGTGGCCAACAGGCATGGGGCATCCATCAGTTTTTAACATGGCGATATGTGCCGCCAAAGCGCGCGCCCACGGCAACCGAAGCAAGCGAGGACCCAGCCAGCCCGCCGCAGTCTCCCAGTCGCCCCCCCTTTGCGCGTGCGAGGAGGTGGCTACGCAGCAGCGCAGGCTGCAGGGCCTGGAGCGCGACACCGCGGCCATGAGGCGCTTCGGTTCGACCGCAGGGGGGAAGCCAGCCAAAGCTCGAAGACCTTTTTATTTATTTATTTTTTTTTGGGGGGGGGTCGATTGGAGGGTCTGCAGGTTCTAGGTGTGTGTGTGTGTGTGTTTTTTTGAAACCGCCCAATTGGCGTGGTCCAACTAGTTTTGGCACATTCCCGTGTTTCCGGTTTGGTGGCGATGCGCATTGCCCTCGGCCAGTGTTCAATGGGGGGACTGAGCGAGTTCTGTTCAGGGAACTCCGCGATCTAGGATGGTCAGTGAGCCGGGTCATGGCCGGCAAGCCGACTTGGTATCCCGGTTAGCCTTTTGCAGGGATCGTTTCCTTTGAGGGACTTCTGCAACTCCAACCCCTTGAGAGACCGAATGAGGTGGACAGTTGCTTGCCAGGGGGATCCAGATCACTCTAGGAAGGGGCCGCGGGGTAAGATGCCAACATAACAGCCATCGTACGTGGTTCCTTTCTTGCGGGTAAATTGGATGAAGATGCCTCAGGTGAGTCAAGCCTCGCCCAGGCAGCGCCTAGAGGAGAATGAGCAGCGGTTGAGCTTGCTGCGGCAAACGGACTCCGAGGCCGGGCTTAAGATTGGAAGGCTGATGCGGTGCAGCTTGCTTTGCTGTGCCTGGATTGTGTTGCGGGTCCATGCCGCCTTTGCCGCCTTTGCCAGGACTCACGGGCAATGAGCCAGGCAAAGGCAGAGGCCGTGTTTTGTGTTGTGCCGTTTGTGCGGTGCAGGGCTTGCTTCGGTCGAAGACTGATGTCAGCAGGGGGAGCCATGGGGAGGTTATGGCAAATGGCCCTTGGTGGCCCCTGAGATTACTTGTAGGGTGCTATGGCTTTAGATCAGCCGAACTGCCTGCCAGATCACGGCAATCGAAGGCTCTTTGCAGAAGGCGCCGAGTTGCCGTGTGGAGTCCGGAGTTGACTTGCAGCCACTTATGGGCTGCAATGTGAAGTGCAAGCTCGAAGTGTTACAACGACGTTGCTGGGGACGAGGGCCAGGCATCGAGGGCTGAAAGCCATTTCTGGATGCGCACTCGCTGGTCTCGGAGAACATCCACAAGCAGCGGGACTTCCCGGCCCAAATGCGGGGCCCAACGTATGGGAACACTCAAACTGGGCGGTTTCCGATTTGGCTTGCCGCCCTTAAAAAAGCGGCGTTGAATCATTTGTCTCCAAGACCATATGTTTGAGCCCTTGGCTTCAAGAGGGGCTGCCTCAGAAAGGGCAACTCCCGACTTGGGAGGCCCACGAGGAGGACGCCGCTTTGACACGCCAGGTGGAGGTGGGGGCTTGCAATGGGGGGAGCGCTGGGCAGTGGAGTGGGGGACTTTGGGATTAGCGGGGGCGCTCGGGGCCGGCAGGGAGGGGTTAGTTGGGGGAGCAAGGGGGCAGAATTAGATGTGTGGAGGTTTTGGTTGGTGGTTTGGGTAGCTGCTGTCATCATTTGGGAAGTGGGACAGGCTTTGCCTGGGTGGGCGATGCCGGATTTCCCTTCAGGATGCCAAGCGCATGAAGGAGCAGGCCGAGGTGTTCGTGCCTGCAGTGGCGCCGACCAGGGAGGACCGCAAGCGTTGCACAGGGACACTGTTCTACAGTCGAATTTGGGCAGCGCCAAGAGCTTTGGAGAACGCTGGCTCTTGCAATTTGTTTGAGACTAAACTTGTTGCGGGACGAGGATCCTTCTTCACACCAAAAGATCCCCGTTTGGACTGTCCCAACCAGCCCTGCGTTTTCTGTGGGGTTAGCATTGGCGTGCTTGGCCGCAGGAGCCGAGCTTCGAGAGGAGCCAATGGAGGACCTGTTGGCAGTACTAAATCAGATGGTTTCTAGCTTCGCTAGAGGACGCTGCCAGAGGATGAGAGTGCTGGGAAGTTCTTGTGAAGGTGTATGCTCCGTGTCGTGGTCACGTGGGAATGCTAGAAGTCCACCACACCCCTCTAGAAGACCTCTTCTTTGCACGTGTTTGCTGGCTTGGAATCGCTGGTCCCTGTGCAAATTCATGGGGTTCGGGGCGGCCCAACCCAGGGGGTTTCGGGCTCCAATTTTCCAAGGAGCTGCTTCGCCGACGATGGCCAGAACCTCGCAAGCTTCACGGCGTTGCATGACAAGCCGGGGCCCTTGCGAGGCGGCTTTGAGCAGGACAGATCCGAGCCCGAGGTTTAGGCCGAATTTGAGTCAGGCCAGCAGGGCGTATTCTTCTCTGAAACCTGTGCAAGGGGTTGCTTTCCGGATGCAGCTGGAGAGATACCAGACTTTGTCTTTGTAAAGGGCTCCTTCATTTTTGGCTGGGGGGTGCTGGTGATTTCTGCCTGCCGGAGGCTGGAGGGCCACATTCAGCGTCTTCAGCGACACACTGAGGACAGGGCTTCGGAATCATGACTCGGCCAAGGCCCCTGACTGCTTAACTCATGGACCCTTTTGGGGCTTCGCAGCTGTTGCCGTCGCAGTGGATTCTTTTGGACTCCCTTCCGGCTCTCCTGCACCGAAGCGGGTCCCACGCGTGTGACACTTTTTGACCCCATGGCCACCCCCGGCCGCTTTTGGGCCATGGGAGGTGGACCCCGGTGGTTTTCGTTAATTCCAATCCTCGTGCTGACTTGCGACAATAGGGGGCCAGGAGCTGCAGACGGTCTTGAGCACCCAAGCCCGGGAGGTGCCGCGAAAGGAGCCGCTGGCCTTTGAGGCCTGCCTTTAGCCCCGGGATGCTGAGGGCAATTTTCAGGCTGCATGTTGATGGCGCTCCATCGGTCACGCAGCAGACAGGGCGGGATAAAAGGGTACGTCGAAGACTTGCAAAGCAGGGGTCGTTGCCAGCTTGGCTTTCCCCAGCCAAGCTGCGTGTGGGTGGATGGGCATGGGCAGAGCTTTGCAGTGTGCTCAATGTAGACGGGACTTTTTTCGAGCACCTTGGTAGAGAGCCAGGCTTTATCATGACATCCAGCGGCAGCTTGCATGCAGCGGGCGTCACCCGACTCATAGTTGGATGCCCCTTGCGGCACTGCCAGAGTCAGCGCTTTGTTTGCAGGCCATCGCACGACGTTAATGCAGGCCAAGCGCCAAGGCTGGAAGGTTTGCACGGCATGCAGCAACCTCGCCCCCCGCCCTGGTTCAGTGGCACCCCTTTCCCTGTTCCAGTATCTCTTTCAAATGAACAGCCCAAGGTCGGTTCCTTTCTGGAGTGGAGCGCAACCCAAGCGGAAGTTTTTGTTTCGCCCTACCTGGCAGGAATTCGTGGCTGGGAGTGGGAACACTTGCGTGCCACGGCCAAAATGCGCCAAGAGAGCGAGTTATGCTACCTTGAGAGATGCTTGGCAGTTGCTCAGTCACGAAAGTGCGCAGCCGTAGGCTGGTCTGTTTGGCCCTATGAGAGTGCCAAGAGCAACCAATGATGCAAGATGAAACTATCCATTCTGCCAGTGGCATGCCCCCATCTATACGTGAGCCATGTTGCCTGACAAAATCTCGAAAGCATCGAGCCTAGGCCATAAGGCCGAAACGAACCGCTCTGGACAACCACGGGACGTAACAACGAGCGCAGCCTCCGGAGTGCATGGGGCCATGGCCGCCGGCCCAGGCTGGGAGAGCGAGGCAAACTTCTAGTGGGCCAAGTGTCCCAACACACAGACACACACACACACTGTGTCATTTAGTCCGGTCCATTTTATTTTGCCTGATGACGTGTGAAAATCGGGGATCCCTTTTGGGGGTTGCTTTTCGGAGAAGGTAACACCACCCAGTTGAGGTGCACTTTCTCATACTTCCCCCAGACCCCAAGCCTGCTTTCTGGCTAACACCGGGCACGCCTTTAAAGGCGGGAGATTCAAAAAGCCCCCCCCACCCCCCGATTGCTGTTCGGATTTGGAGCGAATCTACAGTGAATCAGGGCGATGGGCACCTGCGGCGCGAGTGGCGCGCATGGCGCGCAGGCGTGGGCCGAAGTCTAAGTGCTGGTTGGACCCCTTCGCCCGCATCTGCCAAAGCGTGAGCAAGGGAACCTGAAATAGGGCTCCAGTAGAAATATCGTGCTTATGTGCATGGGCCCCTGGAAGAAGGAAGGTGAATGGCTGGTTTCATGCCGGTTCCCTTTGAAACCTGTGCCTAAAGGATCCTTCAGTTTTCACATGGCGAGGTAAACGGGGCTTACTTTGACTTGCGTGTGCTCCTTAGGTCTTTGCTCCTGGTGCTCTCCCTTGGTTCCGTCTTCATTTACCGGCCGCAAGCCCGCAGCGCTGGCTCCGCCGGCTGCGCCGGCTCCGCTGGCTCCGCTGGCTCTAGGCTCCGGCCCACGTTGAGGGCGCAGCCGGATCTGCCGCCACTGCCGGATCTGCCGCCGCTGCCGGATCTGGGTGACCTGCCGCCGCTGCCGGACTTGGACCTTCCCCCCCTGGAGATGGAGGAGCCCGACGAGCCCGACGAGCCCGTGGGCCGCATGGGTCTGCCAGACACCGTAGAGGCGGACATGCCCGCCGGCGCCCCGGAATCCTTGTTGAAGGTGCGGACCGGTTCCTTGGCACTGCCAGCTATTCGGACCTGGGTGCAAACTATTCAAGCCTCTGAAATATTCTCGTGGACGTGGTAAACTTCCACCCATGTTCCATAGTCTGGTGCCACCTTTCTTTTGCGGAGCCAGGTTCTGTTTGATGGTTGCGTTGAGCGTTGTTTCAGCTTCCATCGGGCCCAGTGACTCAGGCACCGAGCCTGTCGAGGCGGATGCGGCAGCGGCGGCCAGGAGGGAGCCCAGGTCTTCCCACTACCCCACATTTTACATAGAGATGTCTTGCAACTGCCCTTATGAAGATGCTTTGTTGCCTAAGAAGTGCGCTGAATTGATGGACTTTATGATTTTATGTTAGTATTGTGGGCCCTTCTTGTTGGGATCAGGGTTAGATCCCTGTGCTGGTGCCTGTTTTCTAGGGCAAATGCCTCAAACGCGGTTTTGTTTGTTATTTCGGTGCCCAAGTTGGCTTGATGACTTGAAGCCCAAAGAAAGACAACTTTTCCCAGAAGCAATTGGAAAGCGGCGGTGCTTTTGTGCCAGGAGCGGGTCTGAAAAGAGGTCTGGGCCCTACGGCGGAAGCCTACCTCCAGGCCCCACCGAGCACAGTCAGAACTGTCATTGGTACGTTCCTTGCCGGATATATGACCCAGTTGCCCAGCGGCACCCTTGATTGCGGTACTTCCATTTCATTGAGCAGGTTTTGCCTCAAACACATCCGCCCCAAAAGGCCCTTTCTACCCCATGCGCAAGAAGGTCGGCGCTTAAGAAACCTTCAAAGAGGATTCGGAGCGGGCACTTGGCTACAAGCCGTGCCAGGATGCTGCGAGAAGAGACAAGCCACAGGACCGGGTGGGCGTCTCCAAGGCCTTGGGGCCGCCTTTTCCAGATTTGCCGCTGCAACTGGCAGGAGTGGTATGCTATTCCGCCCAGTGACGATGGGCCGGATCCCTTGGCCTGGGAGGAGGCGGAGACCCAGAGGACAAGCTACCGCCTTGTGGGCCCCACAAGCCGGCATCTTTTCCGGCAGGCGCGGGTCGACTTCCTGCCGGTGGGGAAGACGGTGCGCGGAGTGATCGAGGAGATCAGGCACGCAGCCCGTTGATTGATGTCAAAGGATCCCACCTCCTGATCTTCCTTTTGTTTCCCAAAGAGGGCATGTGACAAGTGGCGGAGTGTTGGGATCCTGTGTTGTGGAAGTGCCCAGGCCATATGGAAGCTTCATTGGTGGCCTGGCAGCAGCTTAGGTGGCAGTCCAGCAAGCTAAAAGTCTCCCATTTCCAGTGTTCAGTTATTGTGGCATTGTGTCTCATTTTGCATTGCATCCAGCCGCAAGAAAACGGTGTTCTAGGTTTTTCCCTCAACAAACTCTGTGCGGCTACATTGTTTGAGGCTTGATCGTTTGCGGCATGGCAGTTGGGAGGTTCGGAGAGGACTGGATTCATTTGTGTCAGTGCTTTCTCTGCTTTGTTTCAACAGGATGTACACAACGCATGCAGCGCAGCTTCGTTTGTTTCTGCTCAGCTCAAAATGGCCAAGTCTCTACATTGGAGCTAAAATTTGTAATTTGTGTATGACAAACTGACAAAAATCACTTCCAGCAGCTTTTTTTTTCCCTCGTCTTTTTTCTTCGCCTTTCGATTTGGCTGGTGCCCCATCCAGGACTCCCAGATCCGTGGCTTCTGCGAAGAGCTGCAGGAGTCGGAGACCCCGAGGCAATGGGAGGCGTGAGTCGTTGGGCTGCCGAGTCGTGCTGCAATTGAAACCAAGCACTGCCACGAACATCATGGAAGGCATGCCGCAGAATAGGAGATGTTTAAAGGATGCATTCGGTATGACGTGATATGTAGGGTATGTGCTGCTTCCATCTTGGGTTGTACCAGTGTCACCTTTTTAGGGTCCATTTCAATGGGGGCATTCGACTTTCCTTTCAGTGCAAGATTGCCTTTTGGGTGTGCCAGGAAGGCGAGCAGGTGGCCGTCAAGATCCTGGAGGTGGACAAGGACACCCAGCGCGTCTTGGTGTCCATCCGCGGGGCGGACCCGCCATGGCCCCCTCCGCGCGAGCGGGTGCTCCATCCGCGGCTCGGCACAGGCGAATCACCTTTTTGGACCCATCTGGAGAAAGCCAAAGCCATGCCAGCTTCGAACTCCTCAGGATCTCAAAGCTGTCTTGAGAAGTCGCCTGAGGCCGGAGAAGTATGCAGATCCTGACTTCTTTCCTCTTCCCTGAGTGGAATTGCTTGGCTATCTCCGATCTCACGGAGTGCGCCTGTCTCAGCGGTGTTGTTCCGAGTGCGCAGCTTCGGTCAAAATCGCGGATGGCCTTGGCTCTGAATGCTTGTGGCAGTACCGCTGCCTGAAGATGATGGTGTGGGGGCGGGGTGCGCTTTGGACGGATCTTACTTGTCAACTACTTGTGGTCAAGACGCATTGCGGGCTCCAGGGCCAAGGGAGCCATCCACGAATGCATGTATGTGAGTCTTATCCATGAGCTGTTTGCGTCGTTTGAAGGGTTTTCAGCTCCGCATGCCTGCGTGTATTCCAGGATTTGTTCACCTATCTGCACTGACTTGATCGTTTGACCGGCATGCAGTCCCTTCACACGTTTGCAACCAATGTTGTATCTTGTTCTGGCGCTCAGCTTGCCAGCGCTCTGATTTTGCCGCTGCCGCTTACCTAGAGCCAAGGCAGAGAGGAGCCGTGGGAGGGTCAGTCCTAGCATGTTATACTGGGTTGCGCGTGGACAGTGGCCACCCGTATTTCACTGGTCACTGACCAATCGCCACTGGCATTAGGGTGCTCATGCACCGTCGAGTCGTTCGAGTCGTCTGGGCGTCCGACTTCCGTGCCCGGTGCACGCCGGGCCGGCCGCTGGGGGCCCGCCGCGCGGAGCCCACGGAGCCGCCGCAGCGCGCGGCGCCCAGCGGCGCGGTGCCGCTGCTGCGGTGCGTGGCGCTGGCGGTGCGGGGCTCGGTTCGGTCGGCGCGCCGCCTGGTGGCCAAGAGCCGGGTGTATGTGGATGGCGCCCGGGCGCAGGACGGTGTTGGCCAAGCCTGAACCACGTTCAGATTTGAAGTGAACCATGTATTATGTTTTCTTACTGTATGCGGTCTGGCGTAGGATGAGCTGGCTATGGTCCCCAACTCATCCACGGTGACGATTCTGAAGAAAAGGGTGCAGGTGGAGGCCCCGCCAAGGTCGGAGTATTATTTGAAGATGCACAAGCCGTGGGGGGTGGTGTGCTCACACGCGCGGGAGGCGCCAGATGCTCGGATAGTATCCGATTTGTATCCTTCTGGGGCTGAGGGCTGTCACACCGTGGGCAGGCTAGACCGAAGGAGCACAGGCCTCCTATTGTTCACATCAGATGGCTTCTTCAGTAGATCAGTGGCAATGCCCGAGACTCACATCGAGAAAGAGTACGTCGCGGTGGTTTCCGGCATCCATGGCCTACGCCCCGACGAGGCCGTCCAGCAGCAGCTCCTGGATGGTGTCGACTTGGAGGATGGCAAGGCGCCAGCGGCCGCCAAAGTCGTGGAGCTCCTTCAGGACGATGCCACGGGCTTGGCCCAACTTCGGCTGGTTGTGTCTTCTGGACGGTACCACCTGGTGAGGCGGATGATGAGAGCGGTCGGTGGAGGCCTCAAGCCGTCAGTGGGTTCTTGAGGCGGCCCTTACATGTCTCATACGGGACCCCCAGCATATGCCATTGAGGTTGCTCTTTGAGTGAAACCCGTACATATCAGTACATAAAATGAGATGGATCGCTCACTTTGAGGAGATGTTTGAACCCTCGCCTCCGTATCTGAAGTTGTCCCAGGCTTCCACTGCGAGCAGCTGCTGCGCACGCGCATCGGGACCATTCGCGGGGTGCGCGCGGGCCTGGCTCGAGAGGAAGCGCGGGAGGGAGGCAGAGCCCAACTGGGGGACGGCGCAAATCTGCAGCCCGGGCAGCGGCTTGGTGCAAGTCTCTGGTTCGAAGGTTTGGACCACCTCAATCGGGGTGGTTGACGAGTTGCTGTTAGAGGCTTGGCCACTGGGCTTCTTGAGCTGCCATGTTGTCAAACGTGTTTTTCGATCTATGGTGATCCCTTTTGGGCTTGACGTGTGCCACTGCACTTTTGGAAATTCGGGCAGGCTGCCACTGGTGCAGGCTTGGTATGGCTTGATCAAGAAAACGACACCTTCTCTAGCAATCCAGGTGTTGAAGCCAGTGGGTATTTCCATAAATGAAGATCTCACGGGCGCCTGCCTGTGAGGTATGCTGCTGTAACAGCGGAAGAGGTTGCCAGCATCTACCGGCGAGGGGTTGCATGGCTTGAGCATCACCACCCCGTGCAGAAAATGCCACGCTCGGATGCGCTCGGCGGGTGCTCAAAGAGAAAGTAGGGACACCAACCACGTAATCGTTTTGAGAAATGTGTGTGTGGTGTGTGTGTGTGTGGTGTGTGTGGTGTGTGTGGTGTGTGTGTGTGTGTGTGTGCGTTTCAGCGTATGCATATGAAAGAGAAACGGCCAGGACACCACTACTTTTGAGTTCCTATTTTTGCACAAACGAAACTCCCAGCTAAAGCCTTCGCTCTTGCCATTGGCTCCAGCTGTGCCCCCTTTGCACGGTGCGGGGGGAAGATCCCCGCCGCTTCCTGGCCTCTCACTTGACCTACAAAACGGGGCGCACAAAAACACCTTCCAGAGAACCGAGCATGCAGAAGCCAGCCCATGCTGAAGACGCAACAAGGCTTTGCAACCGCAACAAGCTTTCTCCGGCCCCTTAGCGCAGCTTTCCGGTCCCATGGGATGCGGCGCTCCAAGTTCTCCACGCTGCGGCGGCGTCGGGAGCTGTCGAAGGCGGGAGGTGCTTCAGGTGGCAAGGGGCAAAGAAAGAAACTTCTTCACTTCCCATAGGCTCGTGTTCCCATTCCTTGTTGCTTGAGTGGATTGCGTTTTATCGTGAATCAACATACAATGTGCAGCGGCCAATGCTCACCATGGTGTGGCCATTTTGCTGAGGCCCATGGTTCTCAGAAGGGCAGCTATCTTGCAAGTGGGGCCTTGGATGGGACGGATTTCCCACTCTGAAATTTCATTACATTCTCTGTTTGCTTTATTTAGATTGCCCTCTGATGGTGCAATCCATGATTGTTTCTTTCTATCCCCGCCTGAATATGACACCCTATGTTGCCCCAGCAACTCGCAAATGGATGATGGGTATTGAGGCAAACTACTGGGTGCTTGTGTGAATTCATCCTTTTTGTGTAAAGTTGTCCGTTTCGGGTGTACCCATGCAGCTTTGCTGCGAAACTTGCGCTTCTGGGTAGAGGCATGCTATGACCAAATTGTCGGTGTCCCCTTTTAGTTGTGCTCAATCCGTGTCATGTGTTCGTTTTGGGAACGTTGTCCTGATCGGGTGTCCCCATGCGGCTTTGCTAGGTTTCCAGAGCTTCTGGGCAGAGGCATGTTATGACAGTTTTGTTGGTGTCTCCTTGTGTTTGGTCCTGATCGGTTGTCCCCATGCAGCTTTGTTACGGAATGCATGTTCCAGCGCTTGCGGATCGTGGCATGCTATGACCATGTTGCCGGTGTGTGTTGTGTCCTGCGCTTGCAGGCGAAGGTACGCACACACGCACACACACACACACACATATGTATATATATATATATATGTATATATATATATATATATTATAGATAGATAGGTATAAGATAGCTGTGTGCAGCATGCCTATTTGTATCTTTATATATTTTTATATGTGCATGTACCGATGCAACACCACCTCTGCTCCACCCCCCCCCCCCTCAGCCTGCTCTCGCCAGGTTCTCTGCGCCATCGCGGGCCGCAGCTGCCAAAAGGACGCCCAAGAGTTCTCCAAGGTGCACGGGCCCGGGGATCTATCGGGCCATTTGGGGTCAGGGCGCAGGGGGTGCAAATGCACAAAGCTAGCCGCCCACCCCTTAGGTTTCAACATCCGCTGTGTGTGTGTGGGCGCGCCTGTTTGTGTCAGTGCATGACTCTTCTGGTTGTCGGTTTGGATGAGAAATAACATAACAACTGGCCGCCATTTTGGATAGCTGTAGCAGGAGAGGGGTCCTTACCGAAGCCAGCCCAAAAATACGCTGCTCCCCGATTGCCTTCCTGCGCATGCAGGCCGTGCGGTTTCAAGCTAGTAGCTAGCTGCATGAAGCGACGGGGAGCAGGTCGCTTGAGAAAGTCCTGGCATTCGCAATGCCGAAAGGCGCGATTCCCAGAGTACTACTATAGCAAAGCGAGCGAGTGCTTCTTTGGGCAGCTGAGCGCTTCAGACTGGACCCACTTGGCCTGTCCGCTGCTTTGGGCGGATTTCAAGTAGACTTACATGCGGAATGGGGCGAGTCTTCATTTTCCATGGACAACTGGTGGGAAAGCGAGCGGAGGTTCTGCACACCTTTGGCACCGACACTTCCAACTTGGAGGAGCGGCGCTGTGTGAGCCGTGACGCGGCGACTTGGCCCAAAGATGCGCACTTTGGGCGGGCCTTTTGTCTGCTGGGTCCCAGCCAAGAGGAGCATGACATGGCGACAACTTGTTCAATTGCGGCTTAGACATGTTTGAACCAACTGGATGGACTACGTGATAGAAATGAGGCCTGGCAAACTTCCAGAGCTGTGGCAAGCCCAGGTGCGGGAGCCTTTTGTCTCTCCCTTCAAGCATATCGGCTCCAGGGATGAGGAGTCTCTTGGCAGAGATGGCATGTTAGGTCAACAGTTGGTCAGTGGGGCAAGGAGTGTTACGTGTACGTTTTGCCCGTCCCTCCCGACACCCCCAAGCCTTGTGGATCACCTTTTTCTTTTTGACCCTCCCACGTCATCGACCTCAATTGCCTGCGAGCAGAAGTGCGCTGAAACAGAAACATTTCTTGCACCTCGAGTTCAAGAGTCTCCGGCATCAACATCTGCGTCGGTCGACAGGTCCCACTGGATGGAGAATCGGTCGCCGGTGGTAGGGAGGAAGTTTAGCAACGCAGAGGCAGGGTCGGCCAAGGCTGCCTCTGTTCATCTTCTGCGTGACATTTCCCAGGCTGTTCAATTCTTTCGGTAGAAGGTTCATGGAGTCATATTGAGTGACGGGGCTTTGAAAGGCCTATGGCCCTGCCAGGTCTTGGGGCGGGCGCGGCGGGTGATCATCTCGGCCAAGGCGGTGGTTCGCGCGAGGGCGGGGGCAAGGGTCGCAACGCGGCTGAGGCCCACCGTGAGATCGACTGGGACAAGGTTTTCCTGGCCGCTGATGTGGACAAGCCTCTTAGCCGCCAGCATTCTAGCCTTTTCTATTTTTTGGGGGCATTTGGCAGTTTGGCTTACGACCCACCCACCCACCCACCCACCCACCCACCCAACCAACCAACCAACCAACCAACCAACCAACCAACCAACCAACCAACCAGTCAACCAACCCACGAGTGTGCAACCCAGGTCTGGCGCATTGGACCTCAAGGAGCTGAAGCAGGAGGGAGAGTCACCTTCCGTTTGCGGGCTGGGAAGTAGCTTAACCAGCTGACACAGGACCAAAGAAATCCACGTGACATGGAAGGACTTCTTGCTTGGCGTCACGAGATGTGATTCTCGAACCCCGGATGAGATGATATGCGTGTGTCACTTGAACACTCTTCTCCATGTGTTTCCGTAGCACGCAGTTGCAACGCGGCCGTGCGCAATCATGAATGGATATGTTTCAAGCATGTTCACGGGGAAGCCACCATGCGCCCAACCACTGTTGTGCTTGCGACTCTCTGAAAGGCCGTCTTGAAAGAAGCCCAATGTCAGCATTCCCGTTTGTCAACCCATTTTACTGCAACCCCCATGGCATTCCAAAAGCGGGTTCAAAGATTCGACACTCAGCCGCATGTTCACCTCTTAAAAAAAAAGGTTGAGCCCTGAGCTCTTTGTGGTTGTGGATATGTTTCCCCTGGGTTAGCATGTCCGGTTGCTGTTGCGTGGAGGAGCTGCTTGGGCCATGCCCCAAAGCACATCCCTCCAACCTGGGGGGGAAGGGGGTCCCTGCAGGTGATGCGTGTGGCGCTGCGCATCTCCCCGCAGACGCTGCCAGACTACGACATCCAGGTGCTCTGGCCGGGGCTGGCGCGGCCCCGCTTTTACGTAGAATCGTCTTCTTCTGCAGGTTGGCAGCAGGAACTGGAAGGTGCCGAAAGGAGGTTCTTCTGAAGGTGACTTCATCTCTTCCATCAAGCTTCTCTGCGCCCCTAGCTCTCACAAAGAACCCTTTCAGGCCCGTTTCCGATCCTTTGTCATTCCAACAACGAAACAAGTTCCGTGCATCCACATGATGTCCGTCAGCCTGCGAAACATCTTTGGGTTTGCTTCAGCGGCCAGCCTCCATGCTTGAGCTGGCAAAAAGCGCGGCGAAAGGCCTCGAGAACCCCCGGGCCTCGCGGATTCGTGAGGTGCTGTTCGAGGCCATCGACCAGGACGGCAGCGGCTCTGTGGAGATGCTACCGGGCTCAAGGGCCCCAACCCCCGTTTGAGTTTCTTTGTAAGAAGGTTTAAAGACACTTCTTTAATTAGAGTTGTGATAGAATTGAAGAAGGGCATGATTGCAGTTCAAAGTTTAATGTCTATGTGAATTGGGAACGTAAGTAGGGATTACTTTCCAAGCAGGGAATTCAATCAAGTTAATGGCTATAAAATGGAACTTTACTGTCTACTTGGATTGGCCATTTATGTAGGAACTCGGAGCTGAACCAACGTTAATTGCATTTAGAAGGCGAGTGGTAAGGTCCTGGGTAGTAGCAGATGAGCAATGGAGCAGATCTGCAAGGATGGAAAATGTCAAATGAGCAGATGTGCAAAGGTATTGGATGGTAGCAGATGAGCAGTTTGCAAGTTGAAAAGATAGATCATGGGGGGGGTTGAACATATATGCTCGTTGTGAGGTGCGCGGCCCACTTGAACAGGCTCAGCTGCCGGTGCTTGTTCTTTTTCCATGCCAGGATTGCCCTTCTATCTACTTTTTTGAACAAGTCAAGGCGTTCCCCTCCTGTTTTCGAGGCACCACTCGTGTCCAGCCGAAAGGTAGCAGAGGGTCCTGCACGGATTTTGTGCCGTTTGGAACGCCTGCAGCGCCACAGGTCTGAGCTGCTAGAGTACGTGTGCCACGGCTCCAAGCGGCCGGACGATGATCAAGAGCTGTTCAGGAAGAAGACCGCTCGGGTGCGGAGGAACTTGAACCTGGCCTTCCGGAGCCACGGCTTTCAACTTGAGGGATGAACAAATTCCGGCCACAAAACCTCCAAAAGCATGCGAGTAGCTCTCAGGAGACAGGTTGTGTGTTAGATATTATTGATATTATGTGACATACCTGAGAGAGCCGAGCTTGCGCGCGCAAACCCAGGAAATACACCGCATCTCACGCAGCGATCAATGAACTGTGCCTTGGCCTGATGATGATGGCAAGGTTGGGTTGCAGTTGTTGATGGTCGGTCAAGCTCTGTTTTTGTTTTTTTGGGGGGGGGGTTTCCTTTAACATTTTGTTTTGGGGGGGGGGAGGAGGGGTTGTTTCTACTTGCCGAGCGGGCAGCCGGGGACTGAAAAGCGCTTCCCGGGCGCTCCCTGCAAGCTTGCTGGTGAGGTTTGCCAACATGGACGCCGGCGGCGACGGCAAGGTCTCCTTGCCGCCTGGTTCGGTCTGTTCGCGGTTTTGCGACCCGCCCCAATTGACATAGAACAAGAAAAGGGGGTGCCCCAAAAGGAGCTGCTTCGGCACATGGGCTTTTTTGAGGAGAGCAACAGTAGCTTCTCATTAGCTTCTCCCACTTCACGTGGCTGATCCGGTGGATCTTTAGGACCGAGTTCATGTACTTTGCGCGGATCAACTTGCGGCTCACGCAATATGACGTGGGCGACATGGAGCTGAAGCAGTTTTATAGAGGCCAGTTGCTTGGGCTCCCAAAATTGGACCAAGGGTCCGAGGGGATCGTCTCATACGACCAACATGGCCATGAATCTAAATAGGGAACCCCTCAGGAGTGGCAGGTGGACATAGATCCCCATGTAAATGAAGTCCACCAAAAAATCCCCAAGTAAAATTCACCGCCACATGTCCATAGGTGTCCTTTTTTTTTAAGGTGAGCCTGGTTGAAAATAGATGGCACTGGTTTAGATGTTTTCCCATTTCCCATCCCCATCTATTTTTCTTCAAAAGGCCACCTATGCACCCGTTCCGTCCGTTCCCTTTTTTGGGTTTCTGGATGCCACCGGCGCAGGCATGGACCACGACGGGGACGGCGTGGACGCGGAGGAGCTGCTGAACTTCATCAAGGAGCAGCACGCAGAGCTGTCCAGCCGGAAGGCGGAGTCGTTTTGTTGAGGGGGGCAGCGGGGGGGAAGGCGGCCTTCGAGAGGTCCGGCTATTTCTATGGAAATGTGCACATTTAGGTTTACTTGAAGACTTGTATTCCTCCGTTTTTTTCCATCCTTTTTTAAAGGCGAATCCCGTTTGTCTAGCCTGTGCTTGGCCGAAAATGCGTACTGAACCAGAAAGGTCGGCATATAATCGGTGTGCTTTCCGGATGCTAACGCAGGTGGGATGAAGATATGCCCTGCTAGCCTGTTTTCAAAACCCAACAAGCATCAGCGCTGGCTGCTCTTGAGGTCGCTGTTTTCCCAAGCATCTGGACCACCAAGGCCCACGGCTACCCCATGTGAGGTCACAAAGAGACACCTGACTCGACAGTTGCCAGTTTTGTCGCAGGTGTTTTCCTTCGCGGACAAGGACGGCGGTGGGATAAAGAAGGAGCCATGGAAGCAGCGCAACCCCTTTGACAGGGGCAACTGCCTGGAGTCCCCAAGCACTGCGCCCAGCTTCCGCCGGTGTTAACAACTTGCGGCTAGTTTGGGCCCTAAGGCACATTCCCTTTCGATCCGAAGAGTCCGGCGTGCCAAGGCAGCGTTTTCGTGAACCTGGGCCGCATCAAGCCGCCGCCAATGCGGTTGGCGGTGGCAAGCAGGTAAACGTCCTTATTGGGAGTGCGCTTCTTGCGTCGCCCGCGCCTGTCTGTAAGTGCCAGATTTGCCACTGATGCAAGCCAACTTGGCAACTTGGAATTTCCCGATGCCAAAGGCATTCTGTGGACCCAAGCGTGCATCAAGAAAGTGCAGCAGCAAAGTCGACATATATAATATATTATATATATATGTATATATATATATATGTCGGTGTATATTTATATAGGTGCAGCAAAACCACCCCAAAGTGTTCCCCAAGTTAACCCACGCTGGCTTTCCGACATGGGTTCCCAATGAAGGCCCAGGCGTTCAGGTGAAAGGCGCACGTGGCAAGTGGGCGAGTTTTGGTCTGGCCCTTGGCTCAAGGAAGATATGCTGAACGATCCCAAGCCCTGAGTCAATTTGCAGGGTCTTGATGCAGAGGTGTCTGTGAGATGATCACTTTCCGCTACTCCTGAAGGGTAAAACGAACAACATGGGGGGTAGAAATCAAGGACGTGTACTCCTATGACCTTTGCATGGTAGTATCTGCCATTTTGTGCTGTTGAGTACTCCGCTTGGTTCATGCTTCCGTTCACGCTTTGAGATCAGAGCAGCTTCACCCTTGGTACCTGTGGAAAGTTCTGCCCAGCTTGTGTTGCTGTGCGCTCGCGCGGTGGGCGCCTCCACAGTCTACAGTCTGCCATGGGATGGGGAGACGGCGACGACAGGCGCTTTTTGGGGAAAAGGGATTGGTTGGCATGAGGCGAGATGTTTGTTCAGTCGCCATTTGCGGGAGCTTGTTGCTAGAAGGGCGGCTGGCTTGTTTGCCCCATGTTCCACGCACGCGAGGGAGCCCCATCTTGGCGGTGCATTTCCCATCATAAATCGGGCAGGTAAAGCTGTGACGGTGATTGTAAATTTTGCTATGGTCGAAAGGTGGGCCAGTTGATACTAGCAAACCAAAGGAAGCTAATGATTAGGAGGGCACCCAGACACACCGACAGTGCACCTCTCACAGTGAAAACCGGCATCGGACCTTCGTCGGGCGCCAGGCCGAATCGCCGCATGGACAGCCGTAGCCGGGCCCGGGAGAAGCCAAAAGAGCGGTCTGAGAGGCCGAGCGCCCCGTGCTCGCCTCAAAGATATGTTTGGAGCCAAAGTGGTTACGCTGCATCTGCGGCTGTTCAGCCCTCTCTGCTCCAGAAACTGGTGTCAAACTTGACCTGTTTTGTCCTGGGCCGGCTGGTGCTCCGCAATCGTCCTCTGCTCCTGTGGGGGGGGGGGGGAAGTAATGTGACGCATCTTTCTTTGCTGCGTCCTATCATCTTTGAGCCCAGGGGTAACCGGGAATTGTCTTTTCAGCATACCGAAATCCGAAGAATGTTTGAGCAAGCTATGCCGGATTGCGTGGGGCTTGCCGAATTTGGCAAATGGACAGCCCTGCCAGCAGGGGGCACGAGCTGATGGTCGGTACTTGGGGCCCTCCCAGTCAGATTCGGAGCATAAACGGACTCGTGATTATGGGATCGCCTGTCAAAGTCGGTGTCCCCTTGTTTAAAGACGTGCTATTGGGGTCAGGAACGGGACTGCCTTGATCCGGCTCTGGACAGAAAACGGGCAATTTGTTCCTTATGGTAATCTGCCAGAGGGAGACATCTACACTTCCGAACTCATGGAAGCAAAGAGTCCAAGAGCCCATGCCAACTACTTGAGTCGTTGTATGTTTCAAGTGCGGGGAGAGCCTCTCGATGCATCGCGGGCCTGAAACGACCGCTGAAAAGAGGCGCTTGCCGAGCGCCAGGGACGTGGCAATTATATAGACGGGTGAAAGTTTTAGGTTGGCCAAGTGACCGAGGCCCTCAAGGAGTCAACCCTTTAATTAGCCAAGTTGCCCGTACACGCAAGACATGGGAAGGGTGTATGACATGTTGCTGCCGGCTTGTTTCGGCTGGGTACTGCGCTCTGCAGCCATGCCGGTGGCGTGCCAACCCGCCTGAGGCGTGCAAGGGTTGAGAGCAGGGGGGGCACGGATGTGCGATGTAGGCCGAGTGTTCCCTAAGCCGTATGTCTAGCCTGGAGTGGATTGCGCGGGCTGCTGGGTGGACTCCTAGTTTCCCTTTTGTGCGTTCCCATGTCACATGGAGTACGCAGTTGGTCTGTATGGCTTCCTCTTTCCAGTATCAAGTTTCAACAGCAAAAGAGAATCTCAATTTTAACGCGTCACATACTCATGGGGATTGTTTTGGGTTTAGCCCATGGGGGATAATTTGCTTCATGCAATTTGCTGGATGGCACGGTTGTTGGCATCAACAAAACGCAGCGGTCCTTTTCATCCGAAAGGTGCAGCTAGGCTCTGACGACCTTTCCGTGCTCCCGCCAGGTGTGGCCGCATTTGTGGCTCTGCATCTTGTCAAGATGGAGTCCTTGGCACTGCTTTTTTGTTCGAATCCCAAGGGTCCAACTCCCGGAAAACCCGCGGTATTCATTCGATGTGCAGACTGACTGGACTGCCATCTATTTGCCTTCTCTCAATGGCCATGGAGGCGGAAGGCTGGGCAAGAGCTGTGGAATAGACCTTGGGTTGGAGCTAGTGCATGTTAATCAGATTTTACTCTGGATGACTTGAGAGTCTACCCAACATGGCACCTGTGAGAGGGTACCTGGAAGCTCAGTTTCCTCTTAGAGGGACCCCGGTCGGGTAGACCAGGGGCATCCTTTGGCCGGCCCTCACTCACCAGCCGAGGATGCCTGTTGATGGCATCGTCCCCACCAATGGCGCGGCAGATGAGCGGCCCCAAGTCAAGGACGGATCTTTGGGAGATATGCATCAGGGGTTGGAGGCAAATGGACATCGAAGCACTTCAGCTTTCGGGTTTTTCCTTATGCTCCCCACCCCTCAGGGCTGAAGTGTACCTTGAAGGGCTCAAGCCCCAGTGCCGTGCGAGGACATCCCAGATGAGGAGATCCTGGACGATGTCAGCTGCTTGACTGCAGCTCCTCAGGTTAGATGACTCTGGTGCACGTCCACCACACTTACCCACAGCCCGGCGTTGGATTGAAAACCTATGCTCGGCATTTGCCGTGGCAGAATGAGGCCCGCTCCTTCTCCGGCCATCCCTGGCTACCTAAGCAAAGTAACGTGCGGCATTTTCGTGTTGCGCTCTTACTCCCATGCCGTATGATAGGGCATGAGGATCAACACATCCGGCCACGACATTTGTGCTTGACGCCGGGCAATGTGTCAAAGAAGTCCCCGCCCAAAGAAGCAACTGCGCAAGTTGTTTGAAGCCGGTCCGGCAGGCTGGGTTCCGCAGTTGGGCTCCAATGCTTGCGTTGGGCCCCAACCAAAGGCTGTGTGGGGGTGCCCCTCTGAGCCATGGACCAGCCAGGGCCACACTTCCGCACGCCTTTTTCCGCACTTTCGCAGAGAAGGGGCTGGTGACTTGGCGGTTCCCAGGAGGTTTTTAGAGTTTGGAGGGATTTGATTTGTGACATATGCCGCTAGTAAAACGTTTGGCGAGGGATCAGCGGAGCACGAAGGTGAGCTGCTTGGTCGCCGGGACAGCTGGCTGCGCGAGTTTGGTCAGAACTCGCCGAGGACACGGACACCGCGGTGCAATCTGCCGGGCAAGCCGCGCTGAGCTGCTGGTGGATGGAGATGTCCACAGTCTCCGTAGCATCTGAGCCATTCCGAGCTGACCTTTTGACCTTTGGGTTTTCTTAGTTGGGTCCCGTAGAGCCAAGATATCAAGAGGCCCAGCTTATGGTTAAACCTTGTTTTCCGAGCAAGGCATACAGGAGGCGATTCAGATGCTGGAGCAGGAGGGTCGAGCGGTGAACGCCACAGTTTTTGGCCCGCCCAAGGGCAGAAACAAAAATCAGGCTTGGCAGAAGTTTCTTCAAAGACGGAACGTCGTATTCCGACCTGTGGTGCGAGGACTGGATGAGAGAAGGGAGGCCAATGATGATGCCATTCGAGACACGATTCAAGCACTCTCGCGAGCCAAAGGGGTTGGTTACGTGGCATTGCTTTCAACTGACACAGGTTTCTTGAGCCAGCTACAGGACTGCATTGTGTCTGGGAACAAGGTTGTGTTATTCATTCCAGCAAGACGGACAATGATCATCAGGTATTACGAAGAGAACGGGATGCAAGTTAAGCAGCTGCCAGAGGAGGACAACACATGCCATGTCAGAGCTCTTCTTGAGGCTAATGGCACAGGAAATGTCAAACTAGCTGAGCCATATGCAGAGTTTCTCACTCCAGAAGCCGCCGCAGAAATGACAGACATTCTGCAAGAATGCGGCTTCCCAACTGGCGAACGCGTATATTTGAACCAATTGATTGCCAAGTTCTGGTTTGCCCATTCACTGGGCACATTGACGGTGTACCCCTTTAACCTCGCCGTGACAGCAATGAGAGATGCGATCACATCGGTCTCAAGCATTCGATCATGGCAGTCCAGTGGTAAGCCACTGGCATTCTTCCTCCCAGTCAGCGGCCCAGGTACTGGAAAGGCAGCCAAATTTGGATCTCGGCTGGCTCGTAGAATCTTTCGCGGCGGAGGCCCGTTCATGCTGAGCGATTCCTCCAACTTGACATGCGCGGCCTTGACGGAGCTTGGCTACATGGATGAGGATCTGAACGCGGATTTGACAGAAGCAATCTTCTGTTTTGTCAACAGCACTGACAACAAGTATCGCTTGCGCAAGCTAGACTTGCTGCCAGCAGGTCAGGCTAAAACCCAGGAGCTCGATAGGCAATTGCGCCAGGCATTTCTATCCAACGGGACAGATGCACAGTGGCGAGTTGGGCCCAACAGTCGCGCCGGCGTTCAGAAGATCCTGGTGGCTTCTGAGATGCTTCCGCAAGGTCGTGCGTCGCAGGCGGAGCTTTTCACAGCAATGGGAGATTACGCCCGTTGCCACGACCTGCCAGAGATGCGGACGTTCAATGGCCGCGCGTGGCGCATCATGAGGTTCAATGACAGGTGTCCTACCACGCGAGGTGTCATCGAGGTTGCCAGGCCTTGAGGCTCACTTTAGGTTTGGCATGAGGCAGGGTGAAGCCTGCCTGGGATTTGCCTTTAGGCGTCTTGTGTTCGACAGGCATGTCCTGTCATCCACCAGGCTTCTTTTGGTGGATGCCATCATAGTGT